TAAGTTTTTGTTGGATCATTGAACTGAATTCTTTGCAATCTCACTGTTTGAATGTCCACTTTGTATGTTTTAATTTTGTAATTTTAACAACTATTTCTAAGATGATAATATGTAATCTATTAACTAGTGATTTCTTACTGTTTATTTTTGTCTTGAAATTCTGTATTATTTGTACCTTTTTACTGTTTTGTTTTATTTTTCTCTTTAAATAAAAAAAAGAAGAACTTGGAGTGAAATGGTTCATGTACAAAAAAACAATTCCAACCCTGATTGATGTACTTTGCAAAACCACCTTTCAAAATTAATGTAGAAATAATATATTTTCATGACAAAGAGCAACTAAAAAATTCATGACCAAAAAACCAGAGTAAAACATCAATTTAAAAAGTACAAGAAATCTGTCCACATTAAAGACCCAAAACATGCAACTGAAGTCCAAAATTGAAACTTAGAAAACAATACAGAAACTCAAATGTATTCAATGAGGAATGAAAAGTGTGAAATCACTATAGACTCTGTGGAAATTAAAGTCATCAATACGTACTTTGAACATTTTACCCACGTAGACTGGAAAACACCGAAGAAATGGACAGAGTCCTAGAAATAAATCAACAACCAAGCTGAATCAACAAGATTTAAGATTTTTTAACAACCCAATATTAGTTAATGAAATAGAAAATGTAATTAAAACTTACCAATAAATTACTGATGGATTCACCATTGAATTCTACAAGAAATTTAGAGAAAATTTAACACCACTACTCCTCAAACTCTTTAAAGAAATTGTAAAGGAAACAATGCTCCCTAATATATTCTGGCAGACAAATATTACCTTTATAACAAAAAGAGACAAAGGCCCAACTAACAAAGAGACCACAGGCCAAACTCACAAATTAATATAGATGCCAAAATCCTTAATAAAATACTACCTAAGAGAATGCATCAAGAACATTCCACACCATGACCAACTAGGATTCCCAGGAATGAAGGGATGGTTCAAAGTACACAACTCAGTACATGTAACACACAATGTAAACAGAGCTCAAGACAAAAATTGCATGATCTTCTCCGGAGATATATAAAAAGCTTTTGATAAAGTGCAACACCATTCATGATAAAAAATAATGCTACAAAAATTAGAATAGATGGTGTTTACTACAACCTAACATATGCCGTCTATGACAAACCAACAGCCAACATTATACTAAGTGGACAAAAGCTAAAAGCTTCTACTCTAAAATCAGGAACAAAATAAGGAAGTCCATTCTGATCCCTCCTATTCAATATAGTGCTGAAAACATTAGCTAGAGAAATTAAACAAGACAGAGAAATTAATAAAATAAAGATATGAAATAAAGCAGTTATCATTATTTGCAGATGATATGATACTCTATGTAGAAGATCCCAAATAATCCACCAAGACTACTACACTTAATAACCAAATTCAGCATTGTAGCTGGATACAAAGTCAATACTCAAAAAGCAACAGCATTCTTGTACACAAACAACAAACTCACAGAGAAATTTAAAAATCACCTTTCACAATAGCATCCAAAAGAATGAAATACTTAGAAATCAGTCTAACAAAGGGCGTGAAAGATTTATACATTAGAAAATTGCAATACTCTGAGGTTGAAGAGGATATCATAAAATGTAAGGCTATCCTTTGCTCATGGATAGGAAGAATCAACATTATGAAAATGTCCATATTCCCAAAACTGTTACACAGTTTTAATGTAATCATGATCAAAATACTATTATAATACCTCACAGATCTAGAGAAAATATTCTTAAAATTCTTTTGGAAACAGAAGAGATCTAGAGTAGCAAAGACATTCCTGGGCAGCAAAGACAAGGCAGGAAACATCATGATCCTTGCGTTGAAATTATACTACAAAGCTACTGTGATAAAATTAGCATAGTATTAGAAAAATCCTGAGGACCACTGGAATAGATTAGAGGATGCAGATATAACTACAAAGACACTCCGTCACCTTATCTTTGACAAAGAAGTCAAACATTTACACTGAGAGAAAGTTCACCTCTTTTAAATGGTGCTGAAAAAATTGGCTTTCCACATGCTAATGACTGAAACTAGACCCATGTCTATAACCATACACTAAACTAAAGTCAAAGTAGATCAAAGATCTAAAAATTAAAACAAAAACATTATGGAAGACAAGGTACACCAAAGCCTGGAATACATAGGGATAGGCAGAGAGTTTATGAGCAAAACCCAAACTTCATGGAAAGTGAAATATTTCAAAGAATCAACAACTCAGATCTCATCTTATTGAAAAGATTTTGCACATCAAAAAAATCACCAACAGAGTTAAAATACAAACCACAAAATAAGAAAATATTTTAGGCAACACTCTCTCCAACAAAGGAATTCTACCTGAACATATAAAGAATCAAAACCAATCAGACTCCCTATATATAAAACCCAATCCAAAAATGTGTATCTGAGATGAATACATCCTTCTCAGATGAAGAAACACAAATGGCAAATAAATACACGAAAAGATATTCAGTATCACTGCTTATTAAGAAATACTAATTAAAACAACATTGAGATTACATCTCACTTCAGAAACAATGGCTATCATCAATATATCAACCAATAACAAATGCTAAGCAGGTCGCAGGGAAAATAGAACCCTTCTCCACTATTGTTAGGAGTAAAGACTTGTATAAGTACAGTGAAAATCAGTGAGGATACCCCTCAGAAAATCAGGTTTGAAGATCCCATTCTGTGTAGCTATTCCCCTTCTGGGTATTCTCCCATAAGAAGTGAGTATATCATACACAGTGATATACTCATACTCCTATTTGTAGCAGCACATTTGTAATAGCTAAATATCAGAAACAACCCAAATGCTCATCAAGAACGGATACAAAGACGTGGTAGTTTTACACAATGAAGTACTACTCAGTTATAGAGAAGTATAAACTCAAAGCTTTTATAGTAAAGGTATAAAACTAGAAATCATACTTATAAGTGAAATAAATCAGACTTGCATTGTCTCCATAGTGTAAAAAACTGAAAGAGTGAATAGGATCCAAAATGTACAATAGTTATTGGGCTGGGAATGTAACTCAGAGGCACAAGCTCCTGCCTGGCAAGCGTGAGGTCAGGAGTTCGATCCCTGGTACAAAAAATAAATAATTAATTAATTAAAAATAAGAAGCACAATGTACAATAGCTAGTGTGAAAGTGAAAGAGTAAGAAAATGCTCAAAAAGGGAAAAATATATGTATGTGATAAATAATCATACTATTAATATATATATATAATGATACTACTAATATATATGATAGATAATTATACTAATCTCAGTTGAGTCACTAAAAAGAATGGTTTGTGCTCTCATCATTTGATCATTCATGCCTCTATCTTATAATCAAGCAACCACTTTGAACATAAAAATATACTATATACTAATTATTGTTAATCTCCTATTATTTTGTTTTGAAATTCTGTGTATTTTTTATTATTTTTCTTTGTAAAATAAAAGAAAATGTGACAATATATTTATTGAATAACAAAAATGACACGAAGTATAAATGAAAGTACCCCCCAATTTCCTATTTTAACATTTGAGCGAACATTATTTCAATCATCCAATTTATAAAGGGACACATTTACATGAAGATAAAAATAACATTTAAGGGCTCACAATATTTTTACATTCACTCACAGTGAAAAATGTTTGTGCCTTGCCTTTTTCTCCACCAGGTTACTTTCTGTTGTTGCTTCTGATAGATTAAGGTTGTAATATACATATATGTGCATATGTTTAAGTGCTTTGTTAATCACTTTTAATAAATGAAAATTTTAGTATGTTCTATATATTTTTTCTCAGCATCAAATGCAATACTCCTTCAGAAAGGGCTAAAGAAGTGGTTATTTAGATTTTTGCTTGTAATATATCTATCTTCAACCTTTGTAAAATGTGAATATATATTTGAATTAAATCAGGTTATATCCTAATTATTTAACTTATGTTCTAATTTCTATGACAGTAAACATGTACTTCCCTCATACTTTGTATGTTTCAGTAGCCATTCATTCATTCAAAAATCTGTGCTTGAAGTTTACTATGTCACTGTACTATGACCTCTGCACACTATAGGCATAAGACAAACATAATCTGTACTCTAACAAAAACTTCCATTGTCTAGAAAAAGAATCTGTCTAGAAACTTCCATTGTCTAGAAAAGGAAAAGAAAAGCAAGCAAATATTCATGTGACAAATATCTTCATCAGCACCATCCAGGATTGACTGTCATCACATGTGTGTTCGTCACCAATACCCAACATTCACAGAACAGCAAACAATACTATAATTATCTGGCCTTGTATATCATCTAGGATAGGTCTGGCTTTGTTCTTTCTGCCTCCTTCACAATTCGGTGTGTGGAGTAATATGTTTTACTTGAGATTTCCACTTATTTTTATTGGTTTTAATGACCTCAAGAGGGATGAATTTGGAGAATGAAAGCAGAATACAATATGCACAAAATATAAACAATGCTATCAAAATGAACAGATAGGCCTGTGGAAATCCCAGTAACCATGGCTCTTTCTCTTTTTAGATTCTGAGAACATTGAGAAATAATTCTCAATTCCAGTCTTGTTGAAGGTCAATGTAAAAACTTACTTGGTAATGGAACCAAATGGGCATGTTAATTGAAACAGTAATTAGGGGAGGGTTTTTCTACCATTTTTGTACTATGAAGAAAGGAAAGTGACAGCGTGTTTTTGGAGGAAAATCATGACACAATAGGATTCAAGAGGTCTGGGAATAGGCCTGGCTTTATTATCTCTGTCTCCCAGAGTGCAAGATACTACTGCTCTATCTACATGTTGGGAACCAAGAATAGAAGAAAATTAATGAAGGTAAGAATAGGGTTCATGTATAAATATGGTCTATGTCAACGTTTAATTCTCAATTATTTAGTGAACATGGTGCTTTCAGTATGACTCTGGAGAAAGGTCACAACGGATGAGAACCTGAAAAACATAATTTAAGAGAGTCATAAAGTAGAAATATTATGAGCAAGGTTTTGGGGAAGAATAGGACATGAATTGGAGGTTTTATTTGCTGATTAATGAGCAGCATTGAATCTGCTTTTAAGGGATCCTAATCCTCAAAGTTTTTTTAAATAGAAAATATACAGACTACAGAAATGATAAATGTGGAAAAATCCATCACAGTGCCCAGAAGACCAGACCAAGCCCCACACATGTCAGCTCTACTCTTTGGTAGAGACAGGAACTGAAATACTTAAAGGCACAAATTAAGAATAATTACAATTTAAGCAGAACAGACTTTTGAAGGCAGATGATTTTAGTGCAGAGAAGGCCAATGCACTGCACTTCTCAGACAGCCAGCAGTCCTTTTCTTCTATGAAGCAGACATGACTGCCCATTATAGGAACCAGAAATCTGTCTCCAGTAGCCTGCAATGTGCACTGGACTTCTTGCCCAGGATTAAGTCTTAGGAACTAGCATTAATGATAGAGTCAATGATAGGAAAATAGATGCAACAGTACAGAAAATCTTATAGGCAAATCAAATTTATTTCTTTCAGAGGAAGTGTTTTCTATTGTGTGCTTATTTATTTCAAAAAAGGAAAGGGGGTGTTGGCAAAATTTTTTTTAAATTCTTCACAAGTTCCAAAATTCATTTTTAAACAGAAAGAACTTACTCTGGAGTATCTTCTTTAGAGAGTTTATCACTTGCTTGTTCCTTAAGGAGTAGATCATTGAGTTCAGCATGGGAGAGACAATGTTATTTAATATCTGCACCTCAGCACCAAGCAGGGGGTTGGGAGTGTGCTGCAGATAGATGATGATCACAGGTCCATAGGCACAGAGGATTGCGGTGAGGTGGGCGCTGCAGGTAGAGAACGCTTTCTGCCTGCCCTCGATTGAACAGATCCTCAGAATGGCAACCCCGATGTGTGTGTAGGAGACACAAACACTAAATAAAAGCATTAAAGCCAGAAGGCCAACATTTACAGAACCCACTCTCTGGGCCAGGGAGCTGTCATTACAAGCCAGTGGTAAAACCGCAGGAATATCACAGAAGAAGTGGTCCACCTCTCTGGGGCCACAGTAGGTTAACTGAAAGGTGAAGGAGGTCAGTGTGGTGGCATGAAGACAGCCTATCATGAAGGATACTGTGACTAGTGTAATGCAAACTTCAGGTTTCATGATGAGCTTGTACCTCAGTGGGTGACAGATGGCAACAAAGCGATCATAAGCCATCACAGAATTGAGGCAGCCTTCAGTGGAGCCCAGAAAATGGTAGAAGAAGAGTTGTGCAGCACATCCCTCATAAGAGATGGCTCGGCTCTGGCCGGAGAGATACAGTAGCATCTTGGGACAGGTAACAGATGGGAACAACATGTCAAAAATAGATAGAAAGCCCAAAAAAAAGTACATGGGGGTGTGAAGGGTAGAAGAAGAAGTGATCGCGGTAAAAATAAGTAAGTTTCCCAGCAGTGTGAAGAGGTAGATGATAGAGAAGGTGGCACAGAGCACAGGCTCCAGCCCTTCTGTGTGTGGTATCCCCAGTAGGATGAACTCAGCTAGCAGTGTGTGATTTCTCATGGTCCTGGGAGAGTGGCCTTGGTTTCCATAAGAGACAGGAAGACAGGAATGCAGGTTAATTTTTGACACCTATGTTATCTGTACATTTTATTTCACTGTTTGTTTACAGATAAATACAATGTTGAAAATAAGAGTTAGGAAGTCTTCCAAAGATGCATCGAACTAGTAAAGCACATGTGGGACTTCATAGCTTGTAAACTATTCCTTCAGAAATATGGAAACAAAGAAAAGTGAAACATTAGCATGGTGATAAGTGGGTGAGCCAAGAGAATAAAGATCTCAATACAAACATGAACAAGCATTTAATTATCATCCTTTAACCTGGATGACCGAGGATAATCAAATTTGAAAGGGTGACCTTTGATTCCCTTTCAAAGCATTGGTATCAGCTCAAAAATGTTGTCCAATACCCTGAATGTGTTGGTGAACAACCTGGGCACTCACAGTGGTCTGTGATAAAGCACGAGTAGTGGGGCCTTGGGTTGTATTAATGTCATTTTTATTGGATATAAGTCTTGGTTTGATGATTTTCTTACATTAAAATGGTCATTTTCTTGAAAAATAGTGGGATATTTGGCTGTTGTCATAGGGCCTTAAATTATTTAGAGATCAGCAGTCTAGTTGTATTATATACTTTTAAGGTTTCAGTGTGGTGAAGTCATGAGAAAATAGAAATTATGAGATTTAATTTTTGGTAAAATTAGAATTTTTGAATTGTTAGGGTAATGAAATTAGAATCTTTCTATTCCATAGCTTTTTAGGGAAGAGAAGGAAGGGAAGGGAAATGGAAAGCAAGAGAAGCAAGGTATGTTAGGTACATGTGCCAGCTCCTCATGATGAATGTGATCATTATGTACTGCAACTACCTACCATGTACTAATGTTTTTCTTAGAATTGAAATTTTTATTTAAAATATTATTTTGGTGGTAACACTTAATATGAAATGTATCATCTTAATAGATTAACAAGTCCACAGTGCAATATTGAAAACTATAGGTACAATATATTGTAGACTTCCTGAGTGTATTTATCTTATTTTTATACTTAACTTTTGTATCCATTGATTGGTAACTCCACATTTTGCCTTTCACCATCCTGCTCTTTGCTGCTTGTTTTGTTTCAATAGAAGAAGATAAGTAAATGGGAGAATCTGAAATTGCCTCTGGGATGTGCTGCAGTTGGCTGTCACAGTGTTTGAATTTAGAAGTTTTTGTGAATCATCCAAGAAGAAATGATGTTTTGACTTTGTTCTACTCGTGATCTTTTTTGGGGCAGGAGGAGGGGCTACACAGCATATGAAAATTGTCCAATTATAACTGCCCTGCCTTTTAATTTTAATTCCTTATCAATGTCTCTTATCTTCCTTCATAGTTACTGGTTGATAATTTTATCATCTAGAAAATTGGAGGTAGTAAATTACTATATCAATCGACATGTACACAAGAAATTCTGACGGAATTTAGTTCAGGTTCATTAAGCTTCAGAGTCCCTGAGAGTAAAGACAGTACTTTGTCAGTGAATTAACATTATCACCACTCTCTATGGAATACCTGGCATTAAATATTTGTTAGATGTACTAGTGAAAGAGGGAATGAATGGAAGAATTGTTAATTAATTTGTAACTATATTTTTACTACAAGTTCTGTAGGAAACCATACCTACTTTGATAGGCACTAATCTTATTTATTTATGTACTCATTATTTAAATTAAAATTTTAAATGCTGTGAAATGATGATTTTCTTAGATAATTTTAATAGTTTTTAAAATTAACCCTAGAACATCACTGTTGCATCTGCAACAGTAGAAATTAATGCACCTTTCTTTGATGATTGAATTGAAATACAAATATTTGTCTTCTTCTGGGATAAAATATGAAGAAACAAGTTGAATTAATAATCTAATGACCAAATAAAACTCTGATTTCTTTCATGTGAATATGGATCAGTAATTCATAATTTCTGTATCTCAACTTCCTATCTTGAAGGAAGCAGAAAACATTCCCTAATCTAGTAACCTCAATCCAACCAGCTAAGGATTTATCATCTCCACTTAGAGCTGTTTTCTGAGTGAGGGGAACATAATTCATGAAGGAAGAATAATAGGGATAAAAGAGGAAAGCTCATGCCATGCCATTGAATATTCTCTTTCTTCCCATGCTGTGTCCCATAATGTATATCTTGGCATCTACCATTCTGTATTTCATGAACATAGGTAGAATAATCTTATAATTGTGACTGATATATAGTGGATACATACAAAATGTTTTTAAATCAGGCAATATTTACCTTGCAGAACCAATGTAAGATAAATATGGTAATGTATCTAAATGATTGTGTTATATATAATGTGATGCTTTCTAATGGTTTGTTATTAATATAGTTATTATTCAAGTTCTTTTGTGAAGGATTTGGGGAGTTGCCTGTGTGGCAGGGGTAGTCAATTACTTACACCCAACTGAGAACATTTACAGAGAAAGAAGAAGGCCAGGACAAAATAGTGGTCACACCTTGAACAGCACTGTATTTTAATAGAATATAAAAGAAAGAGAGATATTTAATAAAAAAAAGTACCTATTTTCCAGTGAATTAGAATGATAATTAGAATATTTTAATCTTTATTTGCATCTTTATCTCATAAAAATTATTGTTTTGTCCATATCAAGTAATGTACCCAGCTCATTTTAAATCTGAAATCACCATGCAGTACTTAGAACATGAATGGAACAAAGAAAAATAAAGTGCTACATTCCCACATGCTGGGCATGAGAGTGAATGGGGGGAAGATCCTGCCATCATGTCAAGAGAGGAGAACACCAGGATGGTGGTTTCTAGCAATCCTTGCTTTTTGGGTCTCTCTACTCTAGAATTTGAGTAAAATTTGAGGAAGTTGAAAGAGAAGCTCTGTGCACTTACATGATCAAAGGGGTCATGGCTGACCCAAAAAAGGAAAGCAAGTATTTTCCCCATCCTTTCATCTTCATTTCTGGCTGCAGAGCTGTGGTTCTCTCCATTCAAAAGTGCCTGTGTCTAGTAGCCTTACAACTGAGCTTGGTTTCCCTGGCTGCAGGCACCAAGCGGCCTTCCCTCACTCAGTCACACAGGTAAAGAATGCTTGACTTCCACTGGCTGGCCTGCCACCCAGAGTGAATTCCTCAGGGTTAGAAGTGAAATTATCTATCTTTGTGTGAATTTAAAAGCTGTCATGGTCCCTCTGGAGCTTTGTTCATGACATACCCTTAGACAGAGGGAGCAGAAGCCCTCTGAGAACAGGGACCAATCAATGTACTGAGAGTTTGGGAGTTACAAAATAGAACACAGTAATCAAGAGAATCCTTAAAGTAATTGGTAATCAGAGAGCATGTGAATCCACCTGATCATCCTATTTTTCAGTTTTGGGGTAGATATCTACCAATTTTCCTCTCAATGTCTGAAGGATTTGCCTGCCAAATCTGTCAGTTTTTCAGTTGCTGCTTATTAGTTTACCTCTTATGTTTGGGAAAGAAATTGTAACAAAATGCAATTAGTACCCGCCTTGTCTCTGAAGATAGGCATAGAGCTTCGAGCAAGCAAATGGTCTTCTCAGACCCATTATGTGAATGGAGTTACACTAGTATTTCACAGGATGGTTATAGATTCAAAGAGATGACACTTATGAATTTGCATACACACTGTATGTTCCTGTGATGGTAATTGTTTTTCCTAATTGGGTAGCTCACTAGCTTGCCATCACTTTTACTTCACCGATTGAAGTCTTCCTTTTTCCTCCTCTTTCCCACCTCCTTCCCTTTCCAATTTGAAGTCAAATGGGCTAACTTGTCTTTTCATGTTTCATCGGTTTCGTGGTTTCATTGGGTCATTTTAACTAGAAGTAAATACAGGGGGAAAGACAGTGAGTAAGAAAACTAAAACAAAAACCATGACATAACATGAGCAAAGACAAATATTAGCAACCAGTATGTAAAGTAGAATGGGGAACTGCAGGAACAGCAGGCAGGGGAGACAAGGGAACAGGACTAGAAACTAGAACAAGATGTAGTATGTACATGGAACCACTCCCCCAGATGACTGTGAACTGCATGATTTGCAAATTTACTAATAGACTTGAATTTAAAACCTCTGTCACTAGATTTTAAAAAGTGTGAGACATCTCAGAATCATTTTAATTAAAATCATTTAATAGTCCTGTATGGAAATCTAAAAGGACTATAGTTTTTCAGATTCTCAGGATTCAACCAAGCCAATTCAATAAAAAAAACCCTTAAATCCAGCTTTAAAGAATATCTACTTGTGATGACTGCCTTAAAAATCAATTTTATTTAATCATTGAAACACACAAGTATAAGATGTATTATTTGTCCATTTTGCCAGTTTTGCCATAGACTCAGACCTTGCCCAAGATCCCACAATTAAGTGTTAGATTTAGAGTTGGAGGCCTGGGCTATTAGCATTCGAGCTCACATTCTCAAATCTATGACAGTGCCATGTAGATTATGGTACACCAGAACCAGGTTCCTAGTTTCCTACACAACTTTTGGATCTATGAGTAAAGTCTGCCATTTAGTAACCCTCAGAGATTTGCACCACAAATTTCATACTGTCTGGACCCTTTGGTACTTGCTTATGCTTCTGATGTTTTTAAGAGAATATTTGCTCATAATCTATAAAAATTGTTATTGCTGAACGATAGTCAAGAAACTCAAAGCTATTTCTGATAAACAACTCAGCAGCTTTGGAAGAAAAGGATTACTCTTTTTTAAAAGTGGTTTGTGTGGCTAGGTAAAATATTCAGCACTGGTTTCTAATAGAAACTAAACATGTCATACTTTCTTAGCCTATCCCTAAATTAGGATTGTTCAACCTAATTTTTTAAATTTTATTTCAGTGTGGAAGCAGTACACATCCCAAGGAAACCCTACTTCATCAGTTATATTATTATTTTTAATAATATATAATTACTTATATTTTATACTTCTTATCTTTTCAGCCGCCACCAGTCCTCC